CTGACTTTTCCTAAAAGGCTTCTACGCAACATGTCTGAAAATTTTGAGTTGATCTGACCTCAGGTCAGGTCACCAGAGGCGGTTTGGTGACCCTACCTCAGAAAAGTTTGCAATCACGCCAGAGCTAGAGTTTTTGACCGATGAATTTCTTCTCTTCAGGCTTTAGTTAGGGTACCAGTATGTGCAATTTGTATATCTCGGAATTTTGATATCGGTGACCTAAGGTCAGGTCAGTTTCGCGACCTCCCCATTATAAGTCAATGGGGGAAAAATCAACTCCCTGTTTTTACCACTAAAACGGGTCGGAATGGCCCCATATACCATACATGACTTCATATACGATCAACCTTCACTACCTTGAGGTCTGTTTTGCTGTTGGGCAGCTGTGAGGTCATGTGACGTCATCAAAGGTCACCAAAGGTTTTTGGCCAATAACTCCGTACAGGAACAAGATACAGACGCGTGGATGGTCTCATTGTGTTCAGCTCGTCAAGACGCATCGAATGATATACATGATGACCTCGAGGTCACGTGACCTGAGGTCAACCTTTGACCTTGACCTTTCGAGGTCAACATATATATCATTCGATGCGGATTGACGAGAGGATCACGATGATGCCCTTAGTTTGTTCCTATCTTGACTAATTCGAAAGTTATTCGAGAAAAACTCTCTCCATATCTAGCGCCGCCATTTTGACTTTTTCGACCCCTGTGACGTCATCTTTGACCTGACCTGAAAATGACCTTAGTAAAAATTGTAGATCTTGACCGTGCGTATCCGATGCCGTTTACCGTTTGTCGCTGCGATGTGTAGTTTTTGAGATCTGAAGGGGGGGCCGAATCGGCCCCCCCCCCCGCCAGTTTCTTGTCCCGGCGGAGCCCGCCAGGAATAGGGTTAAAAGAAACGACGCGCTTTACTATTGTACCAATTGTACCATACAATACGCTTGAACTATAATAAAAGTGTGAAATCGCTAATAGAACCCGTGACGGAATCAATTGATGAGAAAGTCCCTACACAATATAGGAAATTTGAACAAGCGAAACTTTTCGTATCGATAACATTCCGGGCTACTATATTTGTTGAAATAATTTTCCAGTAAACTGCGCCTGGGACAGTCAGTTGTCTCGAAGGATCATGTAACGCTGCCTCATGACAACCTTACGATGCGAGCGAGCTCCCACCTAGCACGTGTCAACGGATGTGTGTCAGATTTCAGCCAAGCATGCCCGTGTGACCAGCTGAGTCGCGGTTGCGGGCTAGAGGTGGCAAAATGTGGACCCGAGGACCCGGTCCAAAGAACCAGTCTGGACCCATATGGGTCCAGACCGGTTCCGGGAAATTTTCTGACGGGTCCAACCGGGTCCTTCCATAAACTATACATCTTGCACACTACACATTATTGCAAAATATGAAGTGAAGGAAGTGAATGTTTCTTGGCGCACAGTACCTCATGAGTATTTTCAGTGGGAAATAGGCTGTTTTACATGGTGCAACTAATGATACTTACAAGTAGTTTGTATTAATTGACTTTTGGGGAACGGGTCCAACTGGTTCCGATTCCAACTAAGACCGGGTCCGACTGGTTCCAGAAATTTCCAGCCGGGTCTGGTTCGAGTCTGGTTCCCAAAATTTTCATCTTTTGCCACCTCTATTGCGGGCCATGGGAATCCCCATCAGTCGTGTAATGGAGGCAGTCTCGCTTCAATGTCCAATGATGCAGGTTATATTGTGCAGCATCCTGCTTAATTGTGTACAGCTGTTTGTAAATGTTATCTCATGTATGTAATGACTGATGATCCAGGTGTCATTGACTTTGTCTCTTTGACTTGTCCTTTTGAGTTTTTGGATTTTGGCTTTTTGTCCTTTGGATTTTTTTTCGTAATTTGACTTTATGTTCTGTTGACTTTTCGTCTTTTGACCTTTGTCCTCTTCACTTTTTGTCCTTTTGACTTTTTGTCCCTTTGATTTTTTGTCCTTTTGACTTTTTGGACTTTGACTATATGTCTTTTTGACTTTTTGAACTTTTGACTTTTTATTTTGACTTCATGCCCGGTTGACTTGTTGTTTTTTTACTTTTTGTCCTTTTGACTTTCTGTCCTTTTGGTTTTTTGGATTTTGACTTTATGTCCTGTTCACTTTTTGTCTTTCGACTTTTGTTCTTTTTACTTTTTGGCAATTTGACTTTTTGCCGTTTTTACTTTTTGTCTTTTGACCTTATGTCCATTTGACTTTTTGTCTTTTGACTTCTATGCTAGTTGGCTTTTTGTTCATTGACTTTTTGGCAATTTCACTTTTTATCTTTTGACGTTTTATCCTTTTTGACTTTTTGACTTTTGACTTTCCTCTTTGTTGACCTTTTACCTGTTGACTTTTAAGATTTTTGACTTCGTGCTTTTGACGTAATGTCTGTTGACTAATCATCCTTTTACCTTTTATCATTTGACTTTTTGTCCGGAACCCGCATTACCTACCATGCTGGCAAAACAGGCCGCATGCACTTGGGGGTATACATGGGGGAGTAGCTCATGCTTATCGTTGTTGTTGGGTTAGGGTGGGTCGGAAAGCTGGCAATTTCTTGACCAACCGAAAGGTTGGTATGTTGAGTGGAATAGTGGAGCCATGTGTATCGGACATTGTGGTCGAGTCCGTCAGGAGGGCGCAGGGGCTCCGCCACAGGGGGGGTCGCGGGGGTCCGGACCCCCTCAATAATTTTCCTGGGGGGTACAGTACCCCCCAATATTCCAGATAATATAAACTTGTGTTTCGCATAGAAATGACTATATCATTCACAATATGCATTTTGAATGTGTTGACAGTCGTATAGCTAAGGAACTGAAGATCTAGAAATGTAGGGAACCCTTATAATGTCGTAGCAGACGAAGTGCTCGACTGACCCTCGACCGACTCGACAGTGACACTCATCGGTCTACATGGGATTCCACCATCATTCCACCATTTTTGTTATCTATGAATGCTTTCAAGATGGCTAGGATTAGCTAGGTATGCTAGAATTTGGCTACGATTTTGCGAGGGGGGGGGGGGCGTCCAGCTTGTAGGACACCTCCTACACACAACGCCTGCCCTAAGAGAGCTTCAAATCGATCTGAGAATCCTCTTTCAATGTAAGATCCTATAGTGTCAAGGGGGGTCCATGTCGGTCTTTCAGAGCACCGTACTAGTCTAAGCATCCTCACACCGTTCTGAGGTAATCTGCAATAATCTGCACAGGGCTCTGAATGCAGGTTCGTAGAGGTAAGACATTCACAAGTCACAATCCCAACAGGATCCCCATTGCCTGACTATTGGTTCAAGTGGAGCATTTTGATATCAATTTTCAGGTCAGGATAGGTCACACTCATCACAGAGACTGAATGTCAGTTGTCAGTCTCTAAGGACCCCATGCTGCCATATGAGGGCAGGGCTTTCAAATCCCTACAATAACTGCTAAAGCCCTGAGCTTTCCTTTAAGTTCGGCCTAGGAGGACTCTACACTGGCTTTAGAGCCTACGTAGATATCTGAGGGCCTATGTAGGTCCCTGAATTCCCAAGCCCATGCCAGTCACTGAGAGCCCAATGCGTTCTCTGATGGCCAATGCCGCCTTTGGAGCGCGCAACACTGGCCTCCATTCCTCAAGAACGTCGATTTGAGAGGCCGCCATGTCGGTGTCAATAGGGCTCTGCTCCTCGGTTTTCGATTCCTTATGCAATCTGAACCTTGGTTTTGCAGTTTAATGCAAACTTCTTCCAATAAAATTGCTAAGTTTCTTTGTACTATAGAAAAACAGCAATTTTTCATCGATTTCGGGCGCTGCGGTGGGGGGGGGGGGAGGAATCCCCTTGAATGCCACCTTGGATCCGCCAGTGAGGTTTTGTGTTTTGGGTCGGACCCCCCCAATCCCAAAACCGTGGCGGAGCCCCTGGGAGGGCGCGCCCTTGACGATCCAGCATCTGCGACTGCTGGCCCTGGATCTGAGAGCTGTGGCTACCCGGTGGCTCCCCTGTATCTCTCGGCCGCTGATTTGAGGGCCGCGGTATGAGCTGTCCCCTGGAGGTGGCCGGCGGAGCTGATAGGAGCGCGGCTGCAGTGCACCGGTGGGGCGTCTCGGTCATATCAGAGTCGGCCGCCGACAGGCGCCCCGACCCCGAGCTGTGGCTATTGATCCCGGCGCGTCAGTACGTCTGGGCATCAGCCGCCGCGGCGGCCAGGGCGGGCACGGGCGCAGTTCAACTGTGCAAACCGCGACAGGACTGAGTGTGTCACTCTGGGTATCAGCACTGTGTCCACTGTCCAGGAGTTCTGACTGCCACCTTAAGGCCGCCCCACACTGGAACTCGCATGCGGGTTGCGAGTTTTTGGGTTTTCGGGTTTCTTCAAAATCAAATAATACAATCTAAGCTGAGTGACCTACACTACCATCTGACATGCGAGTCTGCATGTTTTCAGCTTGCGAGCCACCTTGCATCGCATTCCAAAAGTTGGTTTTGAGTCAACTTTCCATTTTCCTCGCTGCGAGGACTGTGAGTTCTGCGAGGTTTGCGGGTTTTTCGTTGGAGTCCAATTTTGGTTCGTTGCGCTGGTATTGCGACTATATGTAATTTTCTGAAGGTGTACCGGCTTCACTGCATTCATGAAGTTACCATAAGGGTACGGTCTAATCACTCATGAATCAGTATTATGCCCGCAAACTCAAAACCCGCAAACTCGCAACCCGCATGCGAGTTCCAGTGTGGGGCGGCCTTTAGGCAGAAGCTCCTGCAGACAAATCATTTAGCCGATGCTGACAATCACTATGTATATTCCGTCTGTTACTAGTTTCGGTATTGAAACTTGAACTTAGGTTTTTGATTTCACTAATGCATGTTCGTAGTCTTCTTTTTTAGTTTTTTTTTCCAGACCATCTTCCATCGAGACTGTCTCAGACCTGAAACACGGATACTGGCGGACCTTACATATCTCACTACTCCGACGTGTGACGCATCTCGTCTTTCTGGACAGGCTCGCCGGCCGACAAGGCTGACCTGGAGGTGGGCGACGAGATCCTGGAGGTCAACGGCAGGTCACTGGAGAACGCCACGCACACCGAGGTCATATCGCACATACACCAGGTGGGTGCTCCAGCAGCCGGCCGCTATAAGGAATGTACAAACGGGAAGGTCGCCCATATGTTTGTGTTTCACATTTGTTCCATTTCATTGTTTTGTGTTAAACGTTTGTGTATTTTTCTTAATTTTACGAGTAGATTTTAACCAACTCACATCATCCCACTGGACTGGTCATCCATCCTGGTTATGAAACAGGTAAACAAATAAGCGAGCTTCATACCATGACATGTCTGCGACATTTTAAAACCACCTATTCAATTGATGATTCTTTTGAAGGAAAGCCCGTCACGATGCTGTTTAGTCCTCGTCTGCCAAGGGTGAAGGGGAGAGGTTTGGTGCAGGGATGCGGAGCCGTGGAAATTTCAGACGGCTCCGGCTCCGGCTCCGGGTGAAATGCCATGGCGGCTCCGGCTCCGGCTATGGCTCCGAGTAAAATGGTTCGGCTCCGGCGGCTCCGGTTCCGGCTCCAATGCTCAGTACATCCCCTATGCAATTAAATACGGGTGGAAGAAAAAAGACGATGGGGTTGGTGCATGTTGCTTCTGTATTTGCATAACAAGGCTATTTTCAAATTTTGAATACCGCATGTTTTACTGCCTTGAACTGTCAAACCGAACTAGGTCAATCATTTTTTCCAGTTAAAAAAGAGGAGCCGAAGTTGTTATGTTCGTAATTCACGGTTCGAGTGAGAGAGAGCTTAAGAGAAACGCGATTTATTTACTGCCGGTGCGAATGGGCCGAGAGAGTTCTCCGAAAACTAAACAAGTATGGCGAGCGCCACGCCTAGTCGCCCGCGCCAGTCATGCCGCTTGGCGCGCACGATCAGCTGAGCGTCGGCAGGGGCGCTCCCAGGCACACAGAGGTGGGGCCGCAGAGGCGGTCCAAGTACACACCCCCTATACCCGAACACAACATCCCCCCTCGAGATGCCGTTCACGTAGACGTCTCTGATGACACGGCAGATGCGCGGCTCTGACGGCTGCCCCACCGCGGGCCGCGCGCGCTCCGGTGCTGCGCGCTCGGCGGGGGCAGCGGCGCTCTCGCGCGCCACCTGGGCGCACACCACTGCAAAGTGGCCGCGCTGGCCACACGAGTTGCAGATGGCGCTAGTAGCGCGGCACGCCGCCGGGTCTGCGTGGGCGGCCCGCCCGCAGCGGCAGCAGCGCGCGCCGGCCGCGCCCGCCAGGTTGGGCCGCGGGGCGCGCCTGGGGGCGGCGCACGCCGGCCGTACCCGCGGAACGCCCGCCGGGTTGGGCCGCGAGGCGCGCATCGCGCGACCTTGAACGGCGGTATGCCGACAGACGGCTCACTGACGCCGTCGGTGAGCGGAGGTCGGAGCAGGTAGCCCGGGCGTTCTCTGACGCACGGCAGATGTCCACCGTCTTCTTGAGGTCCAGCCCCGGATCCTCCAACAGACGCTTCACCGTCTCCTCGTCCCGCAGGCCACACACAATCTTGTCACGCAGGCGTGAGTCGTAACAGTGTGTGCAAAAGTCGCAAAATGCCGCGAGCTCCTTCACTTCGCACAGAAACTCCTCAAAATTCTCGCCCTGCTCCTGGACACGGGCGTAGAACGCACGGCGGTCGACCAGGACACTGCGCTGCTTACGGAGATGACTCTCCATTGCGTCTACCACCGCGGAGAGGGGAGAGTCGTCCGCTATCGTCAGTCCATAGCGCAGCACCCGGTGCCAATCTTCGTCGAGAAGACTGAGAAGGGCAGCTCTCTGGGCAGTGACGGGCAGCGCGGACGCGCCGGTCAGAAGCATGTACCCGTCCAGCTTCTCCCTCCATACAGCGAAGTCGCGCAGGGATGTGGAGGACGACAGCTGAGGCGCCGGCGTTGCAGCAGCAGGCAGGCGCACGGGCGGGGCGGCAGCCGACGTCCGGGCGGCTGTCGCCGCCGAGGCATCGTCGGCAGCGACGGTAGCGGGTGGCTGTCGGTCGGCGACCAGTCGCTCCACCATCTGAGTGAGCCGCTCCTCGCGCTGCGCTGAGTCTCGCTCCCGCTGCGCGGACAGCTCCGCCTGCTGCAGGAGCAGCTGCGTCAGTTTCTCAATGTCACTCATCGTCACAGATCACGGCGCGCTATACACTAATCACTGATACACTGATACACTGATCACTGCGCGCACGCACGAAACCATCTACTGACCGCGCCATGTTATGTTCGTAATTCACGGTTCGAGTGAGAGAGAGCTTAAGAGAAACGCGATTTATTTACTGCCGGTGCGAATGGGCCGAGAGAGTTCTCCGAAAACTAAACAAGTATGGCGAGCGCCACGCCTAGTCGCCCGCGCCAGTCATGCCGCTTGGCGCGCACGATCAGCTGAGCGTCGGCAGGGGCGCTCCCAGGCACACAGAGGTGGGGCCGCAGAGGCGGTCCAAGTACACACCCCCTATACCCGAACACAACAGAAGTCTCCTTTTTGACGGCTCCGGCTCCGTCTCCGGCCTATATTTTTTTCACGGCTCCGGCTCCGGCTCCGGGCACGGGGCAAGATATGCCGGCTCCGGCTCCAGCTCCGGCTCCGGCTCCACACCCCTGGTTTGGTGCCACCACCTGACGGGTTCCTCGAGATTGCTCAGAGCGCGTTAGGAGCTGAAAGTTTGGGTGCCTACTGCCTAACCCTTCAGTGACACCGGGTCTTGAGACACCAATCGCATGTTTAGGTTAGGTCACGACCTATAACTCCTTAAAAGAGCCTCTGCACAGAGTCTAAAAATGTTGCAAATTCTTGGCACCCTCTTTACCTATCAGGGAAGCTCTCACAGAGGGATAAAAGTGACAGTTCCCTACATCTAAATTTCTCCTTTTTATGAGGGTTGTCTGAGTTTAGATCAAGGTCGCGTGATCTTATCATTTTGAGTCGATGGGAGAAGTAGAATTTTCGTGTTTTTGTCCCAGAAATGATGAAAAATAGTATGCCTACTATTTGACGCACCTGGGCGACGGCGAACGGAATGGTGCCAAAACTGCGGTGCTGCGTCATTTTTGGCAAAATTATTCCCAAAAACCTGACACCCACTTTTGGGCTTTTGGCCTTAACATCAGAGAAAGTCCAAAGGGGAGAAACGGCGAGGATCGGGGTAGTCGCGTGCCCCCTTCTCGTCGGCCAGGACGCACGCATGTTAAGAAAACCAAAACGTTCAGCAGGAAGGTTTAAATGTAGAGCTTATTTTTTCGAGTGGGTTATTTTTTGTTTTGAAAGAAAGTCAAATCCTACATATTCTTAAGATAACAAGTGTTTTAAGTGTTTGTGTTAAAGGTAGTGTGCCACCTTCGAATGATTTCCCATTTTATTTTTCCTAGGATAAGAAGCTTCTGTTTTTACCTAATATCGCAAAAAAAAAAATCAAAAATGGGCCTAAAATAGTGCTTTTTCCGCCTAAAAGTTTATCTTTTTTTCGATATGTATAACAACTGTAGTGGGCTGACCTGCAAACAGGCGTCGGCAACAATCACGAATGCGGCGCACATGTGACAATAAGCAAAGGTCATTATAGAGTTACGACGTACGGGAATGAGTTATCAGCTGTCTAATCGTAGACAGCACAATGTCGAATTTAAACTGTAAGCCTGTATTGGTATTGTTTCTTTAATTTGGCTGTGGAACATTAATTTATGGTTTGAAATATTATTTTATGTAAAATAATTGATATGAAACAGCCGTCTCTGAATGAAAGCTATGACCCCATCTCACCACATGAAAGTGGCAGAAATGACAATGATCAGCTGACGCATTTTTCTTGGCCGAAGTCAGAGCGCGCGGCCAGACGCACCACAAAGTATGAGCAGAAGCCGCGCCCAAAGCCAGGGCCCCGGTAACGTGAGGTAGCCGAGTCGGGGCAGCGTGCGCTGACCTAAGCCGTGGCCGCGGCTTTGGGCGCGGTCTACCGCATCCCCGCGGGCAGCCCCATGGGCTATCACATGACACCGGGAGGACGCACGGCCCCGGCTTGGGTCAGCGCACGCTGCCCCGACTCGGCTACCTCACGTTACCGGGGCCCTGGCTTTGGGCGCGGTCTACCGCACCACCTAACAGGCGTGTTCGAAACCGCAGGAGATGATGATGAACGGGTTTATCGAAACTTGATTGGATGAGCCTATCGGTAATAGCGATTTCAGTGTGTGCATTTATTGTTCATAGTGGTGTGAAATGTGGTTGGGGTACGACCGACAACCCGTCGGGGCGAATTTCGCACTGGGGTACTCAAAATTTGAAGAATTTAAGACGTTTCCATGAGTTTTGAAGGTATGGATAAGTTCTAAAAATCCGGTTCTCGTTATCTGGGCCATTAACTCCATACGGTCCAGGAAAGCTGGCACACTACCTTTAAGATAACGAGTGAAGTGTTTTTAAAACTGTGCCTTATACCTGGCAGTGACATATCGACTTGTCATTTGCTGTTAGGTGCATTTCGCATTTCGTATTTGAATAATTCAATGGAATCGATGCTTAGTAATTAGCATTATCTTAGCACACCCACCACTATCATAGCAAATAAAACCGTGTACAAGTAGGTATTCCACAATCCACAGTCCACAGGAAGGGCGACGAAGGTATCCACTCGTCGCTGCCTGGTGCTCACTGACGCCATTCAACACTCATGCACATCTCACAAACAGTTTCCTTTGAATCACCGCCTGTCTCTGTTTTGGATAAGCACAGCCAGCGTCTCTGCCGATTTTGTTTGTGTTGGCATTATCTGCAGGTGTTCTTCCTACAAATAGAGTACGGTGAGCTGGCTGAATTGTTTTCACGGGGCGGGCGCCGGCCGTTCGGCCCGAGTGTTTACCGCTGGTAGCCGGCTGTCGGATGGAGAGGGGCCGCCGCCAGCCGCCGGCCGCTGTTTGGGACGCCATCAATATTGACACGCCGCCCCGGCGATGGTGACGGGCCCAAGAGGTGGCACCGCTTCACCCATCCTCCGGCGGCGGCCGCTTACGTGACTGAAAACGGACAGCCGGCCGGCGCGGCCATCCGGCGCGAGATCAGGGATCAACAGTCGCCAGACCAATGGACGGATGCTTCCTCCGCTACCGCCTAATCCCCGTCGGGCCGGGGTGTTTGAACACCCCTCCTTGCAATCTTTCACAGATATCTAAAAAAAAACGGTGCGTTTTCATGCATGTTATCTGCTTAAGATTTGCATCGCTGGTAACTGTCATTTGGTATATGAACCGTTTTTGTTTCTGTAGCTTTTTATTTACGAAGTTTAGACGGAGGGGGGGGGGCGAAAGAAGACCCGCGGGCTCTGGTAGTCGGGATTACCCACGGGCTGTTTTACACGCTTTCAAGTAATCGCGGAAAGCCGTCTAAGGGTCGCACTATTTGTTTGGTCCAAAGATAATCAAATATCCGATCAGTAGCGGCGGAACACCTTATATTCAATTAAGGGGGGGGGGGCACTGCCGACTTTTGGTCCGATTCTTTCCATGCAACGCCCATAGGGCTAATGCTAAAATGCCAAAATCAAAGGGGGCACGGTGCCCCGGTGCACCGTGCATTCCTAACATGTTACGAAGCTGTCAGTGGTGGTTGACCCTTGACAGCTTCTTTGAATAGCCAGCAAGACGCCTACTAATTGACCTGACAGTCTGACCTGACAAAACCCGTCCTGACCGTAATACATACCTAGGTGTAGACATTAGACATCATCTATGCTTAAAACATAATGAAATATACGACATATACGATCGACTCCGAAGTGTGTTTTTTTTTTCGTTAAAACATAATGTAAAATTCGTGACTCGACATAACATGCCTAACAACCTCACATCACGAGGTAGGCCCTGATTTCCCCGACTTTTGGGTCATTGACCTGACCTGAAAGGTCAACCAATGACCTAGGACCATAAGGCTGCACATCGGCGCTTCTTCTCGTCACGGGCAACACGCTCGTTTTTTTCGCGAAGCTCTTTACTCGATCAGGGGTCGAACGGCAGGGGGTCCAACGCCCCCCCCCCCCCATACGTTAGACGCTGGCAAAACACCAACACAGACGAGGGCGAACAAACCAAACTGTTTATAACCTGTGGCTTATATAGGTATAATGTATCAGTACTAACTGTGATATGATCTTTCGTTTCAGTGTATACGCTCAAGGACAATCTGTTTACGAGTGAAGCGGAAAGCGGGCAATAAACTCGGTGAGTATTTCACTCTATCCATGCTGATATGAATGTAATATTCACTGACGGATCCCGTATTTTGACAAAGATAACGGATTCTCCGAGTGCGAACCACCTACATATAGTGCGAGGCAGCGGCAGAGACTATTCCAGTGGGACGGAAATGCCGCGATGGGACAGCCCTCTCCGCATGAGGGGCGGCAACACCGAATCTGCACGGGGGGGGGGGGGGCAGGAGGGGGCAGCTTCCTTCTGGAACGAGGAGGTCCACTATAAGTGCTGTGCCAGTCAAAAGAGGCCAACTGAGACCTGTGTTGTCGAGAGGCCCTGGTCAGCATGAGGAAAGGAAATATCGATGATGCTGGTTCTCGCTCCGAGAAGGCCCCGGCTCTGAAGCCTGGAAGCTGAAAAGGCCAATCATCTGCCCGGATATCTGAAACTTCGTGGTTACAGTAGGCCACTAAAGCCTTTTTTGCAATAGGCACTACACAAAGGACCTGCTGCTGGGCGGCCACTTGGTGCGATGCCTCCGGGAAGCTCTGTCCCTCCTGGACAGAATCCGTGGCGCCGCGGCTGCCGCCCTGCCGCTCAAACGGTCGTCCCGGAGACGGTTTCGTCTTACAAGGATTTTCCCTCACCTTCGGCTGTTTGGAGGAGGTCTCCTGGTGAAATAACTCAGACTCCTCCCCGCTGCACCTCAATGCTCCCCGAGTTCTGAGCCATGCTCCAGGGCGGCTGCTTGGAGCTTTCGCTGTAGGTGGCGTTGTACATATATGTTCTCGTCAGAGGTCGCAGGCATGGGTACCTACACCTAGATGTCGCCCTCGGCTGGGGCAATGCATCAGCTCGGTCCAGAGGCCCTGCGCCTGCCTAACTTCGTGGAACTTCCAACCTTCAACCCTCCCCGCCCGGCCTACGGGGAGATGAGATGCCACCCACTCCCCACGGTTTTCGGGATCGTTCGAAACGTTTGCTTTAGGTGCAATAAAGAGCTGAAGTTTTACTGACAGGATTTGTACCTATTCAAGCCAGATCTTTTGGTTTCCCGTCTGCATTTGCATTGTGTAGCGTTCAGGTCAGGCAAGTTCACTGACCTATGACGTCATGTGTGAACTCTTGCTCTTAACTCTTGCACGGTGCAAGAGTATGGCATGTTTGCAACGCTCGTCTCCGTGCTAGGGAATCGTTAGCAGGGAGATGCAACTTTCAGGAATAATTCTAGAACATTACTTTTCTCCCAAGCACTTCAAAACTCTCCCTTGAATAAACTCGATTATGCACTTCCAGCTGGAAATGAGGAGAGTGTTATATTAGGTACCGACTAACGCATTGCTTCGAAACTTTTCGCAGTTGATAAGGGCAGCAGTGCCCACTGCCTATGTATAAAATATACCTATGTCTCGGAATTTTTATTTCGGTGACCTAACGTCACTGGTCAGGCAGGTTTTGCGACCTCTTCATAATAAGCCAATGGGAGAAAATTGAAATGCGCCTCTTTGGACGGACGTCATGCTAAACACTCTCAAACAACTGGATGGTGACAGGTGTGAGGTGAATACCTGTCACCGGTATAAAGTAGTGAACCAAAAGAATGCACTCGCAGCCCGACCCCGCTTTATGCCCTTGAGGCCATCTTAGGTCAAGCAAGATACCGAGATAGGTAGGTATACATGTGCTCAGCTCGACGATACGGATCGACTGATAAGTTATCCTATGCACCACGACCTTTTCAGGCCAGGTCATGAGTCATGACCTTGACCTCAGGTCAAATTTAACTCGTTTTATTACGATCAGGCATAGAACAAATACCTATGCTTGTCTTAGGCTGAAGGCTCTTTTGTATAATTAATATAATCATCACCACTACTGACCATTTGTAGAAACCCCTACTCTCCGTCGCACACCTGGGCCAAGATCCCTTCCGCTCACCCCTCGCCGCTCGCATCGCGCAGCCCCGCCCCGTGCCTCGGGGCTCGGTGCCACGGGGTCCCGGGTCCCGCCGCGCCGGTCCCGCAGTTGGGTCCCGCCGGCAAGCGACGACACCTGTGATGCTTCCTCCCCCACCGAACAGGTGGACTCGACCGCATGCCAGCGACGCCAGCGCCGCCCCTCGGCCGCAGTCGGCAGCACGGCGCCGGTGCGGAGGGAGGGTCGCGGGCGCGGGCGCGGCGCGGCGCGGCTGCCATTAGAAAAACAGGCCGGTCGCCGCTGGCCTCTGGCGGCGGCAGCGAGAGAGAGTGACGCGGCGGCGTGGGGCCGCGGCCCGGGCTGGTGCGGTGCGACGGAGCTGGTGCTGGTGATCGTGTGACTGCTATTGGTGACACAGGACAGTGGTGAGCCCCTCGGGGCCATTTCCTGCCGAGACTGGCTGCGGAGTGCGGAGATATTCTTTGTTCGCGAGTCTGGAATGGTTTCTGGGAGCGACAGGTGAGTTGCGCAAGGGTTATTTCGGTTGGGGATGGGGTGGAATTAGGGCGGTATTCCCAACACTAAGTCAGGTAGATCGCTGCCCCTCCCTTCATATGAAACTGAGTCCGACACCTTTGGTAGGTACTCGATCAGTGAAGACTGCGGTCTGGAATAGTAAAGTGAAAGGTGTTACCGACCCAACTGAACGCAGTTTGTCGGTTACCTGCTTGTTTGGCCTCCGGAATCACATCGGCCATTGGTATGTCCGGTCCGGGCGCAGAGCGAGGAAGGGATAGGCGAAGCGCTGTCCCTCACCGTATGGAACGGGTATCTCCGCCAGTGCTCGCTGATGTCCCTCAGCCGTGCTGTGACGGTGCCGGCGCCCAAACTCGGTGACGAGCTCTCTCTGCGCCCAATTCACATTCACAGTCGACACACTACACAGTGCTGCCCCGGCTAGTGGCTGTTAGGTAGGTATAGCTGATACCCAGCAGCGGTCGGTTCACATGGTTAGTTCCAAACACTGGTCCGGCGCTGTGTGTCGGCCGTTAGGTCTGGTCACAACATCACCAAACGGGCACCGAACGGAGACGTCGCGCTCTTTACATCGATGGAAATCATGTTTATTTCACTAAAAATGTTATCCATATTTTTGCCCCTCTAAACCTTACCTACTTGCACGTTCATTTACCTGGTCATGATGCACCTCACTTCACACTTGACCTTCAATCAGGCTTCGGAGTCGTATTTAAAAAATGCCGCGGGTTAAGGTCATGACATGACCCGAAAATGTCACGTGACATGTTTTATGGTGGTTTTCAATTTCAATGAGATTCGCAACAAAGCAGTAGAGAAGTGGGCCAAATTCGTCGCATCAAGACCGAAAATTTTGGGTGGTGCATTGCAGGGGCGGATCCAGAAAATCTCCAAGGGAGGGGCCATTAGAAACCAGGAGGCCCCCCCCATAATCCCACCTGTTGGAGGCCCCATCTTCCCACTTGTTGGCCCCCCCCCCAAAAAAAAAACTGCGTCTATTGAGCTTATCTAGCTGTTCAGGCAACATCTCAACATCTGTGCAGGCTTGGAGGCCCTCTGTGCAGGTTAGGAGGCCCTGTAAAAGTGGTCATCTCTGTGAGTCTAAGAGACCTCCAAGTTATGAAAAGCTTTACCAATCTTCTAACAAAGAAGTCTTCTCAGCTAGTCTTCTAAGAAATAACTAAGTGGGTAGGTTAAAAAAAAAAACTCATCGGATTTCGGCCACTTTATTTTCAGGAGGCCCCCTTTTCAGCTTTTTAACTTTTTAACTTTTTATTTTATTTTTGAAAAAAATCGGCCAAGGGGGGGCCATGGCCCCCATGGCCCCCCCTTGTATCCGCGCCTGGTGCATTGAACAATCAGCTTTGAATGCATCCTGCTCAGGAGTTCCGATGACTTTAGTGGCGTGAGACGTCCATCCTCTATGACGTCAAGCAAGGTAGCAATGCAAAGATTTATGCATCCAGATTCGTACTCGGCGAGTGTATGAAATTACGATTATCATGCTTATATCGATTACGATTATCATCGATTATAATCATATTACGTATTCTTAGATCATTTATGGCATAAAAAAACAGCTTCCATATTGCCATCATACCATGTTTTCTGCCTTTGGTTAGGTCACAAGACTGACCTGACCTCAGGTGACTTTTATGAAAAGTCCGAGATGTATAAGTTTTTGGGTTATGGCATGACCTGTTCCTAAATTTGACCTCCCTGTGAAATATTTCGGCAGTAATAGCGTGAAGTCGCGATATTTTTGGACCGTGCATTGTGCACCAGGTCCCTTATGACAGTGAGTGACGGGTGACCTTACCTGACCTGAAAATTTGGTTGAGTGGTTTCGAACAGGTTTTTAAGTCGAAGGTCTGTATTGGTATAGCAATGCTCACCTCGCCATCGCTAATGCGCGTTTTAAGCAGTCGTGAAAAAAAAGACTCCATCCCCTCGGCCAGGGAGAGTTTATACACTTTTAACCCTCGCCGGACCTATTGGTTTTCTACATACGCGCCGGCCGAGGGGGGGGGGGGGGGGGGGTACGACCCCCCTCGCCGTTTCGCCCCTGGTGGAGCTAGCGCGTCGCAAAAAAAAACGAGCGTGTGCGCCGTTACGAGACGCAGAGATTGGTACCCGATTTTAAGGTCCTAGGTCAACCGGTGACCTCTGAGGTCAGGTCAAGTGCCCCAGGGTACGGTTCAGTTTGTGGTGAATAACTTCGCAAAAAACGGCCGCAGAGCCGCGATTTTGGCAGCATCGTGTTCGCCTCGCTCAGGCGCGTCGAATGATATACTTTTTGTTCGGGTCAGGTCAACTTGGGGTGTTGACCTCAGGTCAAGGTCAGGTCAGCACCCCCAGGTCACGAAGCTGGTCGAAAGAGGTCATGTTGCATATCATTCGATTCGGCAGGTCTTCCTGAGTCCATTGGTGGCTTTCTCGACTCGCTAGCTCAATGTGATCGGGAGTTATTGACGAAAAACGAATATGACCTTGATGACGTCATAAATGACGTCACGGAAGGTCAACATTGCAAAAGTGACGCATCTAACCTTGCAAGGAGTGCATCAAATCAC